GCCATTGGAGGGTGAACCAACGGCAAAAAAAGGAAGACCTTTCTCTCTGTCTCTCTCTCTCACTGTCCACTCTGCCTGTAAAAAAAAAAAAAAATTCTTTATAACTTTCAATGTATAGTTGTGTTGTTTTTCTGAAAGTAAAGCTTTTACTGAGGCCGGCACTGTGGAGTAGCAGGAAAAGCCGCCGCCTGCAGTGCTGGCATCCCATGTGGGCTCCGGTTCAAGTACCAGCTGCTCCACTTCTGATCCAGTTCTCTACTATGGCCTGGGAAAGCATGTAAGAAGACCCAAGTCTTGGGCTCCTGCACCTACGTGGGAGATCTGGAAGAAGCTCCTGGCTCCTGGCTTCGGATCAGCCCAGCTCTGGCCCTTGCGGCCAATTAGGGAATGAACCAGTGGATGGAAGACCTCTTTCTCTCTCTCTCTCTCTCTCTCTCTGCCTCTCCTTCTCTCTCGGTGTAACTCGGACTTTCAAGTAAATAAATAAATCTTAAAAAAAAAAAGAAAGCAAGTTCTTTTTTTAGTTTTTATTATTATTTTTTTGACAGGCAGAGTGGACAGTGAGAGAGAGAGACAGAAAGGTCTTCCTTTGCCATTGGTTCACCTTCCAATGGCCACCGCGGCCGGCGCACCGTGCTGATCCGAAGCCAAGAGCCAGGTGCTTCTCCTGGTCTCCCATGTAGGTGCTGGGCCCAACACCTGGGCCATCCTCCACTGCCTTCCCAGGCCACAGCAGCGAGCTGGCCTTGAAGAGGGACAACTGGGACAGAATCCGGCGCCCCGACAGGACTAGAACCCGGTGTGCTGGCGCGGCAAGGCGGAGGATTAGCCTATTGAGCTGCGGTGCCGGCCGGAAAGTAAGTTATTTAGCTGGTTCACTTGTCAATTGTTCACAGCAGCCAGGCCTGAGCCAGGCCAAAACTGGGAGACAGAAAATCCAGTCTCCCAGGTAGGTAGCAGCTACTCACCTAATTTGGTCAGCTACTTCCTCCTAGAATCTGCATTAGTGGAGAGTTCAAATGGGTGTGCGGTCAGGACATGAACCCAGCTACTATGATGTGGAACATAGGTGTCTTAACCACTAGACCAAATGCTCACTACACTACTTTTAGAAATACTTAGAATGTGATTGACCTGGATGACCTGACCAGCTGTATGAAGCATGCTCCTTTGGTCTCTCCAGCAGCTGTGTTCATAGTTGGACACAGTTTGACTTTCCCAGATAGAGGGGACATTTTTTGGAAGCAAAGCCTATACAAACAGCTGTGTTCATTTTTCATCTTATTCAAGTGCATTTCTTATTTTATGCAGTGGGATGGCTTTATTTAATATGTATTCTGCTTTATAATCTGAGCCAATACCTGTTTCAATACCATCCACAATGAAGGAGAAGTGCCATAGAGTTGGTCAACCCATCCAGGGCTGGTTTTGTCTACATATATGATTTTTAAAAATGTATAATCAAGAGCAACATTATGACTAGCCAATAAATAGGTTATTCTATTCTGTTACTACTGTTTTCAGTAATACAGCCCTGATTATTTACTGAATCCACATCAGTTTTAAAATATGGTCCAAAAATGTTTTGTACAATGATTCCTCCTACAATTCTTACCTCATTCAAGTTATATTTCATTTTATAGCTTAGATGAAAGTAGAGGTAGAGATAGAACACTTAATATATTAAAATATTAACAATTATTTAAGTGAAGAATAAATATTAAGTCATTGTCATTTGGTAACTTTTTATAGATATAAACTTTTGAAATGTGAAGTATTGTTTTACAATTTTTTTTTTTTAATGAGAGAGAGGGAGAGAGAGAGAAAGTCTTCCTTCTGGTGGTTCACCCCCCAAGTGGCTGCTACAGCTGGTGCGCTGTGCAGATCCAAAGCCAGGAGCCAGGTGCTTCCTCCTGGTCTCCCATGCAGGTGCAGGGCCCAAGCACTTGGGCCATCCTCCACTGCCTTCCTGGGCCACAGCAGAGAGCTAGACTGGAAGAGGAGCAACTGGGACAGAACCTGGTGCCCCGACTAGGACTAGAACCCAGGGTGCCGGTGCCACAGGCGGAGGATTAGCCTAGTGAGCTGCAGCGCCGGCCCTAATTTTACAAATTTTAAAAACAAATTAAAATGAGGAATTTATAGAACCAAATAGCAATATTGGGTGATGGTAATGCATGAACCTTAAATTAATGCTATTTGAGTCGCCTACTTTAAATTATTAGACAACTGAAGCTATTTAAACATTGGGTATTTGATGACAAAAAGGAATGTTTGTGGATTTTTTGTTTGTTTTTCTGTTTAGGTCTGATACTGGTTTTGCATTTATACCATTTAACATCCCTCTAATTTGAGAGCTACTTGTTGAAAGATTTACAGACAAAATGATATGAAGCTAGGAATGTTCTTTAAAATTATCTGAGGCAATTCAGGCATTTTGGAGCAGCAGGTTAAGTTCATTGTTGGGATGGCCACATCCCAAAATGCAGTGTCTGGTTCAAGCCCTGGTTTCTGATGCAGCTTCCCATGATGTATATGGGAGGCCCTTGGTAATGGCTCAACTACTTGTGTTCCTGACACTTTGTGGGAGACTCATGAAGTTTCTATTTCCTGACTTCAGCCTAGCCAAGCACTGATGTTGTAGGCATTTACGAAGAAAACCAGCAGATGAATGATCTCCCCCAGTCACACTGGACCACCATCACTCTGCCTGTCAAGTAAATAAATATATCTTTAAGAAATTATTTGTGGCAGGAAAAAGGATAGGAAATGGAATAGGATAGGAGATGGAATTCACCTTGAGTTGATAATCGTTGAAGGTGAATTGTGAAATCTTGGGCATTATTATAATCTTTCTTATGTGTTTAGAAATTCACAAATAATTCAGTGCTGTAGACCAGACTATTTAGAGTCAAATATGCTCATTTACTGATTATATCCTGGAGCTGGTTACTTAACATGCATGAGCTTTAAAATTCTCCCCTGTAATTTGAGGACATGTTTAGAATAGACATTTGTATGATTTTAATCAGGAATAAAGGCATTAATAATTGAAATACTTAATCAGTGGTTGACCCTAAATAAGCACTGAGTAAATGTTAGCTTACCATTTTATCTTCAAATTAGCTGAAGCTAATATTTTTTAAGGGTGTAATTTACATAGAAATCTGTTTCACTCTAAATGTTTTCCTTTGTAGACAGAATAAGAAGGAGAATGTTATTGCTTCCCTGCAGTAATATCAATCTTAAGAAATACAAAATTTTACACAATATAAATAATCAAATTTTTAAAGAGAGAAAGTAGTTTACCATAATATAATTAATGGAGAAACTCTACTAGTTTATCAAGAATTTTCTCTTAGTTCTAAAAGCTAATTCAGCTTTGATCCAAAAATATTACCATTATAATTCCTATTATGTCTGGTTCATATGCTTTGGCTATAAAGATATTATCTAATTTTTGTCTCATTTAAATTTCCTGGTTCACAAAGTATTTTTGGAAGATTATAGTAAAATTCAGTAAGAAGTTCATAGCTATATGATTCGTTTTCATCTAACTTTTTTAACACATTGGACACAATCAAATGAAATAAGTTGCAAGAAGTTCACAAATTTAAGAATGCAAATTAATTAGTGACATTAATACAATGCTTTCACAAATTATTTAAATGATTTTGCAAATTATCATCCTTTGCTTTTTAGTGAATAAAACTTATAAGGCATAATAATGGATCACCATCTTTTAAATTGGAAAGTTGACTGTGTATTCATAGATTATGGTAAATTGTTGATTACTGCAAAGTAGTTATTCCAAATTTTAGCTAAATTTATTATGTGTTATGTTTGCACAAAGATGCAGTATGATAAAATAAGAGAAGTGCTTATCATTCATTAAATTACTGTTAAACGACTTACAGATTTTGAAGAAGTATTTTAAATATTTGAACCAGGACAATGGTGATTACTACAGAAAAGACTACATCATTTCATATCCAAATCCCAGTGCCTAAGATAGTGAGTGTTCTATAATATATATAATGCCTGAACATGTAGTGATTGTGGATTTTAAAGGAGTTGAGTATAAGGGAATTTATAAGTTCGAAACATAATATATTCACTGGCAAAGATTGTAGTTTAGAAATTCTTCACATCAGTAATTCAATGAAAGAATTGGCCAATGTTTCATCATGCAGAATTTATTCATGTCTGGCAACATTAACATTTAAGGAGGCATGAAATAGCAAGTAAATTTAGATTTAAGAAAACCAAAGAGCCACAGTCAAACATTTTGCTATTTGTGCTTTGTAAACAAAAGCTAATGATGACTGACTATATTTTTCATCTTTTCAGAGGTTTGGTTGTATAGCCTTACTGTGAGTTTGATGAATGCAATCACTTATATAGTTTAATCCTTTTCAGTTTAGATATACAACTTAAATAACTTGTAGAAAAACATCTTATTTTCCAAACAGTAGAGAATATTTCTTGATTTCTACTTAAATTTATATGACTCAAGATTAAAATTTTAGCCAAATGAAATCTTATTGAGATGAAAAAACATTGCTGTATAGTTAAGGAAACAGTATAAAAAATGAATATTTGTGCACCAATATTAACCTTCAACTGGGTAATATATTCAGATAGAAAACTTTTATTTTAATGAATTTATGCAGAAATCCATAGTTGAATCAACATAGATATCTGATTTTCATTTTTAAAATTATAATAGACCATAGGGACTTGTTAAGTCAGGGCTTCAGTTCCTTTCTATGGTTTACTTTACTTCTTATTTCACTATTCTTCTCATTTATTATCTTGACTTCTTTTGTTAATCTTTTATTTTTATCTAACTCAATTTATTCTGATTTAGTTTCTGGTATTTACTGTATATTTCTCTTTGTTGTATTCTGTTTCTAATCTATTTTGAACAGAATTTGAAAGCTGTTCAAATAAACTAAACTCAAGAGAGAGCTGATTGCTTCCTTCCTTTTATTTATCAGGACTACGCTGAGAAGGAGAATACTATCGCAAAAGCTCTGGAAGATCTGAAGGCCAATTTTTACTGCGAACTCTGTGACAAACAGTATTATAAACATCAGGAATTTGACAACCACATTAATTCATATGACCATGCTCACAAGCAGGTAAGGAAGAGATGTGCAGGAAAACAGTGGCCATTCTGAACTTTTGGAGTATGTTGAATTGTGAAGACTGTATAAGTATAATATTTTTATTTATTTTTTCTTTGACTTACCATTTTTAAAGATGTCATTCTGGGGTGATGATTTGATGACTTAAGGTAAAATCCCTTTTTTAAAAAAATGCACCAAAAGCAATGTTTGAGACAACTGGTCAACATAAAGGAAGACCATTCATTTGCCTTTTAATGAGTTATAGTGTTTTGAAAACAATATTCTGCAAGTTATGAGCCTCTGAATGTCCACAAATGTATGAGACTTTTGAATATTTTAATCGTTATTATATTTGTCATGTGTAAAGGAATTATATACATATGTTCATATATCACTTAACTATAGGGATATGTTCTGAGAAACATATCATAAGAGTGAGTATATCAATAAACACATCATGAGAGCAATTTCATCACTGTGTAGAGATCATATTGTGTTCTTAACATATACCAAGATGGGTACACCATCACTAAGAGATAGACCCTTAAGAGTATATACTGTCATTCACCAAAATGTCCTCGTGAGACTCTGACTATAGTTTGCAGCACACATTTTAGATTTAACTACTGTGAAAGAAGAAAAGGGGAAAGAATAGTTGATGTGCTAGAAATGATTCAGTGTTTTGATTTAAATCCATAGTTAACATGTATACAGCTTATGTTAATATTACTTTCATTTTACTATCATTTATAAATCCAAGGTTGATTTTTAGAAAAGTCTAAGGAGGAGGTTAAAACAACAATGATTTCAGAAAATAAATTAATTGTGATTCTGTTTTCTGACATGCTACATATTTACCAGTGCACCAACGTTTGCTGTTTAGCCGACTTTATATAACCATTTTAGGATCAGCTTATAAGTATTTTCTATGCAGCCATAACTCATGGATACAATCCACAGTATTCACTTTAGTGTTAATAAAAGATACATTTTAAAATAGATGAACCTACACTAACTTTCCATCAATATCAGAGTTATTTAGTCTAAGGGAAGAGTAATGGGAAAATGATCATGTTAAATGTTTACGAAGCAATGCTATGCATTTTATTTTGCATTTTTTATTTTCATTTTATTTTCCTTCCAGTCTTTAGTACAGACTAAGCTTTGTTTAGCAGTCTTTTGTAAGAAAATGGTTAGCCTTCAATTATATACATGAGCAAGTAATGCATACTTAGCTTATTATCTGTTCTTATTCTTTTGTTTCCTGGTCTATTATAGAGCCACTGAGACACTGGCTAAGGGAGATTTTTTTTTTTTCTTATTAAATTCCCATTTATTTATTTTTTTTTAGATCTGAACTTTAATTCTTTTTTTTTAAACTTTTATTTAATGAAGATAAATTTCCAAAGTACGACTTATGGATTACAATGGCTTCCCCCCCATACCGTCCCTCCCACCCACAACCCTCCCCTTTCCCACTCCCTCTCCCCTTCCATTCACATCAAGATTCATTTTCGATTATCTTAATATACAGAAGATCAGCTTAGTATACATTAAGTAAGTATTTCAACAGTTTGCTCCCACACAGAAACATAAAGTGAAAAATAATAGATGATTTTTTTTAAATGATGATGAAATCAGATCAGACCTATTGTCATGTTTAATCCCAGTGAGAGTCAAGTTGGGAATTGATAATTTCTTTCTTTCTTTTTTTTTTTTTTTTACAGAGGATCAGTTTAGTATGCATTAAGTAAGGATTTCAACAGTTTGCACCCCCATAGAAACACAAAGTGAAATATATTGTTTGAGTACTCGTTATAGCATTAAATCTCAATGTACAGCACATTAAGGATAGAGATCCTACATGAGGAGTAAGTGCACAGTGACTCCTGTTGTTGACTTTACCAATTGACACTCCCGTCTATGGCATCAGTAATCTCCCTCTGCTCCAGTCATGAGTTTCTAAGGCTATGGAAGCCCTCTGAGTTCTCCGACTCTTATCTTGTTTAGACAAGGTCATAGTCAAAGTGGAGGTTCTCTCCTCCCTTCAGAGAAAGGTACCTCCTTCTTTGAGGACCTGTTCTTTCCACTGGGATCTCACTCACAGAGATCTTTTGCCAGAGTGTCTTGGCTTTCCATGCCTGAAATACTCTCATGGGCTTTTCAGCCAGATCCGAATGCCTTTAGGGCTGATTCTGAGGCCAGAGTGCTATTTAGGACATCTGCCATTCTATTAGTCTGCTGAGTATCTCACTTCCCATGTTGGATCACTCTCCCCTTTATTTACTCCATCGGTTAGCGTTAGCAGGTACTAGACTTGTCTATGTGCTCCCTTTGACTCCCAGTCCCTCCACCATGACCAACTGTGAACTGAAATTGATCACCTGGAACAGTGAGATGGCATTGGGAGATGTTTTGACACAAATATTCCTATTTTTACATAAAGATACATGCATATGAATATATCATTTCTTGACAAATATTAAAATATATCACAAAATAATAATGAGTTTTGTTCTACAATTAGTGGCAATTTTTGGATAAAAAAATTCTGGAATGCTATTCCTAACCTGATACATATGAGAAAGTTGTTCCTTTGAGTATTTCTAGGTATTCAAAAGCACATGATAGATTAATGTATATGTTTCATCATGTATGGTAAGTGTTAGTGTCTCAAGAATATCTCACTAAGTATTAATATATTTTGCCCCCTGACCCCAAAGCATTATTCAGTCCTAAAGTTGTTTTGAAGATCAAGCTCTGGTTATCACATTTCCTCCTCTCTTTTTTAAAGATTATTTATTTGAGAGGTAGAGTTACAGAGAGAGGGGGAGAGATAGAGAGAAAGGTCTTCCACCTGCTGGTTCTTTCCCCAAATAGCAGCAATGGCCAGAGCTGGACAATCTGAAACCAGGAGCCAGGAGTTTCTTCCAGATCTCCCTTGTGGATACAGGGGCCTAAGCACTTGGGCCATCTTCCAGTGCTTTCCCAGGCCATAAGCAGAGAGCTGGATCAGAAGAAGAGCAGCCAGGACACAAACTGGTACCCAAAGGGGAAGCTGGCATCGCAGGTGGAGGCCTAGCCTATGCCACAGTGCCAGTCTGTCACATTTCCCTTTTAGCTTCTTATTCTTAGTGAATTTAGAATTATTCTGTAGTCAGCCCTAAAGTTGTTTTGAAGATCAAACTCTAGTTATCACATTCTCTTTTTACCTCCTTCTACACAGTGAATTTGGGATTCTCTGTATATTTTGTAAAGATTCATTCATTTATTTGAAAGTCAGAGTGACAGAGTGTGTAGAAAAAAGAAATATCTTACATGTGCTGATGCATTCACCAAATGGTAGCAATGGTGGGGCTGGGCTAGGCTGAATCTAGTAACCTGGAACTCTATCTGGTTTCCCATGTGCATAGCAGGAGCCCAAATACTTAGGCCATCTGCTGCTGCTTTCTCAGGCACACTATCGGGGAGCAGGATAGGAAGTAGAGCAGCTGGGAATGGAACCAGCGCTCAGATATGAGATGCAGGCATAGCAGGCAGTGGTTTAAGTTACTGCCCCATATTTTCTATATTCTGCATAGGTCACCTCAGGTATTCCTGCTGGGTCTGGCTTGGTATTTTGAAAATCTAGAGGCTGATCTTTGACAAAGTTCAGGGGCATCAATCACTATGGATAGATAACACCATCAAAACTCTTACGAACTCTGGTCAGCAGCACAGTTGGAACATGTGCTGATGTTACAAGAGCTGCAGAAACTTAAACTCTATATGAACATTGTATCCTGTTCCCCGAGAGCAATGGAACGCCCTTGAGGGTGTCTTCCTAGAGAATGCTGCTTTTTCTGAACAAAGATGTCACCACCATGACAGCTGTCAATGTTTCCATCATATGACTACCACATCTTGAGCACTGTGAATGAAGCTGAGAGGGACACAGACTGGGATGCCCAGTATAGATTTTTGTCTCCTTAGAAATTGAAACTGGTATATAAAAAACAAAACATAAAACTACCTGCTGTCTGTCAATGGCTGGGCCTAACACTTGAAATGATAGATCTTGTTAAGTAGGTAAGTCCTTTGAAAAGCTGAGAAAGCTGGTTTGCAAAAAGAAAGAAACAAATGCACAAGAAAATTGATATGCCAGTGACCATGTCAAAAGAGAGGGGTTTGGGAGAGAGTATGGAAATAGCAACTTGATTACCAATTATTTTCCGAATCCTAAGAACAGTCCATCCTACAACTTATTCTATGACCCTGTCCTTGAGTTCTGAGAGTTATTTTAGCTTGCTACTAATAATTATACTTAAAATAATAGCTTATCTTGATGCTTGCTATTAGTTGTAAAGAACAACAAGAATTTTTCTTCATAAAACACAAAGCTAGTCAAGCATTAGGCCAAGATTTTTTGTTTCTCATAGCAAACAGCATTGTAAGTCCATATTACCAGCAGTTAACTTTCTTTCAGGTAAATCTACATGCAATTTGGATACTTCTTACATGGATTAAAATAAAAGCAGGGAGTAATCCTCTGCCTGCGGTGCCGGCACACCGGGTTCTAGTCCCGGTTGGGGTGCCGGATTCTGTCCCGGTTGCCCCTCTTCCAGGCCAGCTTTCTGCTTTGGCCTAGGAGTGCAGTGGAGGATGGCCCAAGTGCTTGGGCCCTGCAACCTCATGGGAGACCAGGAGAAGCACCTGGCTCCTGGCTTCAGATCAGCGCAATCGCCGGCCGCGGCAGCCATTGGAGGGTGAACCAACGGCAAAGGAAGACCTTTCTCTCTTGTCTCCCTCTCTCTCTCTCACTGTCCACTCTGCCTGTCAAAAAAAAAAAAAAAAAGCAGGGAGATCAATCTAATGCATTCATTCCCTGCAGAGATTTGATTACCAGGGCCAATGGGTGAAGAAAAAAGGGAGGATGATTTACTATTTTAATGAGTGCTACCTCTGTCATTTACCAGCTATGTGGCCTTGGGCTGAATAATCAAAGGCTCAGTGAACTCAGCTCTTTGTTCTTA